TTTTCTGATACATATTGATGTCTTTATGCTGTGTAGAAAGTTTGAGCTAATTCCGACTTCAATTTATCAAGTTATGGCTATTTTAAGAAAATGCCAAAGTTCTGAAAAATACCCTGTACTATAGCCCATGGTTTTATCCAAAAAATGGCTCTGAAATCATCCCAAAATTTTATTACATTTTCTGATACATATTGATGTCCTTATGCTGTGTAGAAAGTTTGAGGTGATTCCGACTTCAATTTTTTAAGTTACTGCCATTTTAAGAAAACGCCAAAGTTCTGAAAAATACCCTGTACTATAGCCCATGGTTTTATCCAAAAAATGGCTCTGAAATCATCCCAAAATTTTATTACAGTTTCTAATACATATTGATGTATTTATGCTGTGTAGAAAGTTTGAGGTCATTCCGACTTCAATTTTTTAAGTTACTGTCATTTTAAGGAACGCCAAAATTCTGAAAAATACCCTGTACTATAGCCCATGGTTTTTCCAAAAAATGGCTCAAAAGTAATCAAAATTTTTTATTACATTTTCTGACACATATTGATGTCCTTAAGCTGTGTAGAAAATTTTAAGGTGATTCCGACTAGAATTTTCAAGTTATGGCCATTTTAAAAGAATGATTTGATTTATGAAAAGCCCAAGGCTATAGTCCATGGTTTTTTGTGAAAAATGGCTCCAAAATTGCCAAAAATTTCTATTACATTTTAAATGCATATTGATGTCCTTATGCTATATATATAGTTTGAGCTGATTCCGACTCAAACTTTTTGAGTTATGGCCATTTTTTGAAAACGGGCCAATTTTTGAAAAATACCCAAGGCTTTAGCCTATGGTTTTTTCAAAAAATACATGTAGCTCTGAATTAACATCAAATTTAAGTTGCATTTTCTGATGCATATTGATTCTCCTATGCTATATTGATAAAATTTTTGAGTTATAATCATTTTATTAAGCATATTGGTATAAAAATATTCTTACAACTTTTCCACTGCATATACATGTACATGTAGTGGGTTCTAATAAAGCACTTTGCCCAATCCTGAAATGGAAAAAATTATAATAATTTTTTCTCTTATTTTAGACGTATTATACAAATATTGCTCTATTTTGAATTCTATTATCACTTTGAAAAGAAAGAGGAAATGGAATATGTAACAGAAATGGTATAATATTATTAATTAACTTACTATATTTATTTTATTTACTCGTTTATTTGTTGTTCAGTTGGTGCAGCTGCTAAGAAGCTACTCATTGTTATACTCTCCAACGTCAGCAGGGAAACTCTTAGAAAATGTCATAGT